AGTTTATTATTTAGACTTTTTATTATTTTATTATTTAAGCTTAATAAGGTTAACTATAATTATAACTACTTATATAAGTATAGTTATAAAAGCTATAATAATATTATTAGTTTACTTTAAAATAAAATAAAAGGCTATCTTAATAGTATAGAAATTAAACTCTTTATTAAGACTATTAATAAAAAGATATACTATTAAAGCCTTAAAGACTTTAAAGTCTTTATTAAAAGATTACTACTTAGCCTAAGTATTAATAAATACTATAGTAAGTTTCTTAATAGATTTATATTAAGTAAAGGTTAGTATTAAGAAATAATTAGCTATAGTTTAAAAAATAATAATACCTTTTAATTTAAAGTACTTCTTAAAGGCTATAATTATATTTAATATTATAACCTTATCTTTAATAAAACTATAAGTATATTCTTTAAGGCTTATATTAATAAAAGTAATAGTATAGACTTAATTTTATATTTATTCTTAAATAAGATTCTTTATAGTCTTATTACTATAAGCCTTAGTTAAGATAAAGCTATTTCTTTAGCCTTTTAATAGTAATTTATTAAGATTATTAAGTCTTAGTATATTAATTATCTTTAGCTTTTATTTAACCTAACTACTTTTAAATTTAAACTTTAAGATATTTAATACCTCCTTTAATATTAAAAATATAATATTAGATAATAAAGTAGGTAATAAGGCTATAAGAAGATCTTAGCTTATATATAGGAGTTAAGTTATTAATAGTATTACTTACTAAAGGAGTAGAACTTTAAGATAATAAAGAGGATAATAGGCTAAGTATATAGTCTCTCTTTTTAAACTAAATACTTTATATTTATTTAAAAGTAAAAAGTATTTAAATAAGTAATAAGGAATTCTTCTTACTAAATAAATAGTTATTATATACCTTTTATAGTAATTAAGACTATAGATTATAATAAATAATCTAATAAGTATATTTAAAATTATAAATTATAGTAAATAATCTAATAGGTATATTTATTTAAAGGTTATAACTATATTAAGTAAATTTATATTATAATATATATAAAATAAGTATATAGAGTTTATATATAAATTACTAGGTAAGGTATAGTAATAGAATTTCTTTTTCTTTATATAGAATTTTTATAGTAAATAGACTTATTAAATATACTCTAAATTAGCTAGAGTTTAGGGTCTTTCCTTTTCCTTATATATAAGGAGTTATAAA